CGCAACACCGAGGGTTGCGATCCCGTTACCAGTCAGTAAAAAAGACAAAAAGGAAAATAAAAAAAGAAATACAAGACAAAAGATCATTTCAAAAACGAAGACTAAAGTAAAACAAACGAAAAGTTGATAGCCTGAATACACGACTATAAAGAGCTTCTGAAAATAGAGAGGGAAAAGGACACACTGAATTTACACTTCTACGTGAAAGAACCAAATATATATATATATGTGTGTGTGTGTGTGAAACAACCGTTTTCAAGGCACTGGGCATTAGGCAGCAGAGGCTGATCTCTGAGGGACAGGGAACAAATGGGGTGAGCCCTGCCATGTCCTCATCTTACTGCGGAATGTAGTCCGGGCAGAGGAAACCCAGGCAGAGAGCTGCAGACTCTCTGAGTTACGGAGATAAAACTGAGAGTCTGGGAAGACAAAGACAGCTGGAATTTGCAGGAGAGAGTACCGGAAAGGAGGGAGNCCCTGCCATAGAAGCAGACAGAGCAACTAGAATGGCAAAACCAAGAATCCACAGACAACATCTATGACAAATGTAGGTGACAAGACCCATCCAATATTGTCTCAGTAAGAGGAAGCAGAGGGAAGGCGAGAGGGAATCTGAAGGCTGGAGAACTGAAGAACCCCAAATTCCCAGCAGAATCTAATTGGAAATTGGAGCTGAAATAGCTGCTGAAACTGGGGCAGGTGCTGAAGGGCACAGTTCACAGGCGAGTGTAAGCAGATTGTAGTAAGATCTGAAGACGCTGGAGTTGTCTGGGCCCCATGAACTCACTATACTAACAACCGAAGGCCCGTCCCAGGGTGGAACTGAGCGTAAACTGCTAGCAGGGGATCCAAAATGAGAAGGAGCTGCAAGATAGTGGGTCCAGACAAGGGTGGAAAAAAGAAACAGACTCGGAAAGTCTGAGGAGATATGTAGACGGACGACAGAGGGATGGATGATGGCAGATATATTGACAGGTGATGACAGGTAATGATTATAGATAGACAGGGATAGATGGGTAACGATAGATAGATATAATAATGATGATTGATAAATACAGATAGAGATATAATCACATTATGAAAATAGAAGAGGCAACTCGAGAGCTGTGAAGCAAGAAAAAATATTCTGGCCCAGGCTTCCCTCTTAAATTCATAAGAAAATTCATTTCACTCAAAAATGAGCAACAGAAAAATATTCATCAAATCCCGTTCACAGTTATTATAAGAAAAAAAAGACAAGGAGCAGAAAAATATTACTCCAGGTAATAAAACTACTCCTAAAAGATACCCATAAGACAAAGAAAAAACTGTAGCCTAATATCAATGTCAACTAAAAGAAATTAAGAAAATGAAAGAATCTAGGGATGAAGAACCTATAAATCAGAATTTTAAAAACCAAGAAAGGAGGTGATGGACGAAAAGATTTGATATGACAGCCCAGAGAACTCAGAAAAAAAAATTAGAAATACAAGACAAGGGCCGGCCCGGTGGCGCACTGGAGAGTTTGCCACTTGGGAGCGCACTGGCGCTCCTGCCGAGGGTTCAGATCCCATGTGGAGACCGGTTCCCGCTCACTGGCTGAGC